GTCCTTGTCGGCACTCCTAGTGGTTTGTCAGGCAAGAGAACCTGGTGGAGCCTTGAGTGGCATCTGTCAATTTTGTTGTCAGTCACCATGATTTGGAGGCTGCCAGCTTTTCAGGGCTCAGCTGGTGGACCTACTGATGATGTGCTGCTAGGCCCGCCTCCCCTCATCCTTTTTGAATAGAAGACTATGCCTCCTGGGATGTGTGACAAGCATATCCCAGGAGGTGCAGTGCACGTTGTTCACCTAGGTAAGTGACGTGGATGGGGCAGGACTAAATGCTGTACATAAAAAAAGTGCTGTGTGTAGCGGTGAGGAGGGATGGAGGTTGAGTTGGAGACTGAAGACAGGCTTCAGTCTAAGGCTACCAAGCAGATAATATTCCCATGTGCACTCCAAGACTGAAGTTTGCCGGCTCTGACTTCCTAAAACTTTTCAAGGCTACATTGGGAGGTGGGACTTGGCTTGGCTTAGCTCTGCAAGAATCACTTAAAGCCCTGTAAAATAATGGGAAATGTCCAGGAGGTAGACGGAGTTGGGCTGACATTGTAACTTGCATAATTAATAGCACTGTACAAAGTAATACGCATCATTAATGCCAGACTGTGTAATACTACCAGAAGAGCAAAGCATTAAAAGCACATGACATATAAAGCACCCCTATAGGGTCTCCAATATCCGTGTTCCAAGAATCTAGTTCCCCTAGGTGTCCATTACACTTGCAACATATCTCTAAATGAATAACTTAAAAAAAGCTTCTCTGTAAAACAGCGGGTGGTGAGGTTAGCAAAGGAAAGAGATTCTTCTTTTATGAAATGAGCCGCCAGAAAATATTGCTTTATTGCTCCACTGAGGACTTATAAAGTGAAATCCCAGCTTGGTTTAACTCCTCTCCTACTGTTATACATAGAATTCTCCAAACTTTATCTCAGATTCCAGTTTCTAGAGATATCACAAACACCAGCTTCCACTCGGACTGCTGAAAATGGACAATATGAGTGCTGACAGGAGCGGTCAATGGTTCAGTATATATATATATATATATATATATATATATATATATATATAAAACACACACACATCTGCATTTCCTATGATCTTTCTATACGCCCAGATAATTCAGGAAGTCCCTGATGCCCTCTGAATCATAATGCTGCCGAGGAGTCCCTGATGCCCTCTGAATCATAATGCTGTAGGGGAGTCCCTGATGCACTCTGAATCATAATGCTGCCGAGGAGTCCCTGATGCACTCTGAATCATAATGCTGCAGGGGAGTCCCTGATGCACTCTGAATCATAATGCTGCAGGGGAGTCCCTGATGCCCTCTAAATAATAATGCTGTAGGGGAGTCCCTGATGCCCTCTAAATCATTATGCTGCAGGGGAGTCCCTGATGCACTCTGAATCATAATGCTGCAGGGGAATCCCTGATGCCCTCTAAATCATAATGCTGCAGGGGAGTCCCTGATGCCCTCTAAATCATTATGCTGCAGGGGAGTCCCTGATGCACTCTGAATCATAATGCTGCAGGGGAGTCCCTGATGCCCTCTAAATCATAATGCTGTAGGGGAGGCCCTGATGCCCTCTAAATCATAATGCTGTAGGGCAGTGTTTCTCAACTCCACTCCTCATGGACCCCCAACAGGTCATGTTTTCAGGTTTTCCATTATTTTGCACAGGTGATTTGATCAGTTTCACTGCTTTAGTAATTACCACAGCTGTTTCATCTGAGGGAAATTCTGAAAACATGACCTGTTGGGGGGTCCATGAGGACTGGAGTTGAGAAACACTGCTTTAGGGTAATGAACATATACATGGTAAACTATTCATGGTATATCCTTGTGCTAGACTTGGCTATCACAATTGCCAATGCAAAGTGTGTCAGTCGCAGACTAAGAACACCATTATGCCGGTTTCCTAAAACAGAGGATTCATGTATCTGACACAAGCAGGGCAAAGAGAAATCTCCAGGAATTTCTAGTTTAATGTTTTAAAACTAGGCAACAAGCAGAAATAAATTGATATCCCAATTGAACCTTTGAAATGGAGAGGTCCAGGAGCAAGCCAGAAAGGAGTAAAGCATTTCTAAACCCAAGAACAAACTATATATTGCACTTTACCAACCCTTAGATGGGGTAGATGCATTAGTTTTCCAATTTTCGTTTTTTTTTTCCCCTTTATTTTAAACTTATGATCCAGTCAGTAACACTTCCTGCCTTAGGGTGGCTCCCTTACCTATGGGGGAGCAATAGAGACTCCCTTGGACAGCAGCATTGTCTGGAGAGCATAGTGTTAGATGGACTAGCAGATATAGATGGACTTTGCATATGTGACTAACAAATGGATGGGTGCGACTTGGATGTGACTTGTTCTCCATCTCCAAAAGTTGGACCCACTGTTGCCTGTAAAACATTCAGGTATGACTTTCATACAACTTTTGAGGGTTAACTTGAAGTCCATGGCCCTCAAATTGCATGACAGCCGGACCAAAGTAGTGCATGAACTACTATGAAGTTTCTGCAACTTTAGGTCGCACACACTGTATATGAATGGTTATCATTAGAAAACACAGGGTACGACTTGTCAAGCAACTTTGATGTCCAAAAGTCACATGATAAATTGTACAAGTGAGAATGAGGTGTAAAGCTACTTTTTAAAGGGAACACATGGAACCTTTCTACCACCATGTAGCAGGATACCACACAAGCCTCAACCAAGCGGGCGCACACTCTTGAATATTCCTACATTCACTGGAAACTATGGCATGCCCTGTTAATCTATAACAAATAGCAATAACCTTCACTAAGATATGACACAGCATTAGTCTGTATGAAAAAAAGGTGTAGGGGGGGGGGGGGGTTATTACCAGGGCTCCAAAGAATTACCATTCTTTGGGGGTCAACTCGGCTACCCAAGTGATTACCTACTTCCAAAAAATTGGAATTGCTGGGTAATCTATGCATCCTCCTAGAAATGGCTACAGTTTGTTACCGCTTTAGCACCACAGGTTCACTTTAATCATTTTTGCATTTTTTGCAGTTCTGACATCAGTAGAGTTTATCTTGTTTCTACACGGGTTAATCCACAAGGACAGACTTTGACTAAAGACCTTGAGGGTTGCTGATAGAAGATTGGTTTGGGATTTCTCTAATTAGGCAGTGATTAACAAATTAACTTTGATCTCCAACAGTAGGGAGAATGTATTACCCTGGAACATTGCGGCCTCCTCAGCGGAGCTCAAAGTATACAAGTTTCGTTCAAACCAAAAGCACCGACCCTGGCCTAAACAGGAGCGATCAATATCACATTCTGTGCAAGTGATAGGAAGATCAACCAGGACGTAGAATTATAAAGGTCCTCGCTGGTGTCTTGGAAGCCACCTGTGACTACTGAAAGTCTTTTGGCGTGTTGGGTTTAACGTCTTCTGGCCCTTTAAGGGATTTCGGGTGCTGGGAGGCAGGGCACGGTTTTAGATCATTCACTATATCTGGTCTCCTACAGTACACACTACATGGACATTATTTTAGTAAATATAAACTGCTAAATACCTTTTCTCACCAGCAGTATTATTATTATTATACAGTATTTATAAAGCGCCAATAGTTCGCTCAGCGCTGTACATTACAAAGGGGGACAGAACATGTGACAGAACAATACCAATACAATGCAAAACATGAGGGGAATGAGGGCCCTGCTCTTTGGAGCTTACAATCTAGGAGGGAGGGGATGGTGGTACAGGAGGAGATGGGTGTGGGGGATGGAGTGGTAGGAAGAGTGGAGGAGGTCGGCAAGTTAGCAGGGGGTGGGGTAGGCTTCCCTGAAGAGATGGGTTTTCAGGGTGCGCCTAAAGGAGAGGAGAGTAGGTGATAATCTGATGGGTTGGGGCAGGGAGTTCCAGAGGATGGGTGACACCCTGGAGAAGTCCTGGTGGCGGGCATGGGAGGAGGAGACCAGGGAACTAGAGAGAAGGAGGTCTTGTGAGGAGCGGAGTGTGCGTGTTGGGTGGTACTTGGATATTAGGTCAGTGATGTAGTTCGGGGCAGTATGGTGGACAGCTTTGTATGTCAGTGTTAGGATTTTGAATTTGATCCGTTGCGCATCGGAAGCCAGTGGAGGGATTGGCAGAGGGGGGTGGCGGAAACGGAGCCCAATCCCTCTCAACCCCCCACCTCACCCCCTCAGTCTCTGCCCGAACCACACACCCACCGAGCGACACATCAGACTGGATGTCGCTCCACTTCCCCAAACGAACCTCTCCAAAACCGAGTCTCTTGTCTTCCCCCCAGCCTGTATATAGCAGTCTTGTGACTTCTATCAGTGTCCAGCAGAGCACTGGTTACAGCTTGTAGGAGGGGTTTTCGTTCCCCTGTCCCTCTTGTCTGGACAGCGCTGTTTGGTCCTGTGCTGAGCACATGCACTCGCCCAAGAAAAAAAAAAAAACACACTCTAGCAATACACAGTAAACTAAGCATGTCATCAGCAGTTAGTAAACTGCAAGTCAGTGAGTAAAATCAGTCTGTATATGCAGTAAAGCCATAAGGGGTTTATCCTCTGCATTGTGTAAAAAGGCTGTTTGATCCTGCCTTCTCTGATCCTCCCCTTCTTTTGCTTGCCCAATCCATCTGCCATAGTTAGAGCAGCAGTGGCAGTTCTGCACATGCTGTTTGGTGTGTATTGCAAGAAAGTTTTTTTTGATTTTTTTTGATGGGTGCATGTGATCAGCATGGGGCAAATCAGAACTGTCCAGACAAAGGGTCAGGGGTCATGCAACCTCTTAGGACAGTCAGAGGAGAATGAAAACTACTCTTACAAGATTAACCAGTGCTCAGTCGGACACTGATAGAAGTTACAAGACTGCTCTAACTGCTGATGAGAAAATGTATTTAGGAGTTTATAATTACAAAAATAATTGCATTTCCATGTTGTTTGTACTGTGGGAGACCAGATATAGTGAATGCAGGGTCCAGGGAGACCAGATATGGTGCATGCAGGGTTCAGGGAGACCAGATATAGTGAATGCAGGGTCCGGGGAGACCAGATATAGTGAATGCAGGGTCCGGGGAGACCAGATATACTGAATGCAGGGTCCGGGGAGACCGGATATAGTGAATGCAGGGTCCGGGGAGAGACCGGATATAGTGAATGCAGGGTCCGGGGAGACCGGATATAGTGAATGCAGGGAGACCAAATATAGTGAATGCAGGGTCCGGGGAGACCTGATATAGTGAATGCAGGGTCCGGGGAGAGCGGATATAGTAAATGCAGGGTCCTGGGAGACCAGATATAGTGAATGCAGGGTCCGGGGAGACCAGATATAGTGAATGCAGGGTCCGGGGAGACCAGATATAGTGAATGCAGGGTCCTGGGAGACCAGATATAGTGAACGCAGGGTCCGGGGAGACCAGATATAGTGAACGCAGGGTCCGGGGAGACCAGATATAGTGAATGCAGGGTTCGGGGAGACCAGATATAGTGAATGCAGGGTCCGGGGAGACCAGATATACTGAATGCAGGGTCCGGGGAGACCGGATATACTGAATGCAGGGTCCGGGGAGACCGGATATAGTGAATGCAGGGTCCGGGGAGACCGGATATAGTGAATGCAGGGAGACCAAATATAGTGAATGCAGGGTCCGGGGAGACCTGATATAGTGAATGCAGGGTCCGGGGAGAGCGGGGATATAGTAAATGCAGGGTCCTGGGAGACCAGATATAGTGAATGCAGGGTCCGGGGAGACCAGATATAGTGAATGCAGGGTCCGGGGAGACCAGATATAGTGAATGCAGGGTCCTGGGAGACCAGATATAGTGAATGCAGGGTCCGGGGAGACCAGATATAGTGAATGCAGGGTCCTGGGAGACCAGATATAGTGAACGCAGGGTCCGGGGAGACCAGATATAGTGAACGCAGAGTCCGGGGAGACCAAATGCCCTTCTGCCCAACATCCTTCGTGTGAAAAGTCAAAGAAACAAGGTGGAAAATGGGCAGCCAAACAGCTCCCTCATACAATCAAGAAATGGCAGCTATCAGAATACAATAGATACTGTGGGAAATTTGTCCACTTAGTGTAGATGGAGAAATCTATACGTGTATGGCTTTCTTAAGTAGGACTATGTGTAACATTTGCATTGGTGGTGGTTCCATCTGGTCCACTCTTGGTCAGCTGTCCACTGGAATGAAGTCTACAAATCCCGATGTTTGTGTGCAGCCATATACTTTGGCAGCAATATGGCTATTTCTGATCTTCAGTGCTATGAATGGCTTGCTCCTTTACTCTTCTTTGACATAAAACCGCTCATTCCTGGGTCTGACACTCAGCGATAATGACCGGCTATTTTAGTGCTGGCACTTTCCTCAAAAGCTCCATGTTTACCTGCATTTTCTCAATAGCCCAGCTATAACTGTCTAGAAAGCTTCCTATCATCTAGAACAATCAGATGAATGTTCTAAAAATGTGAAATCTGTCATACAATGCAAGAAAACCCAAGATGAAAAATACACCGGCCCAGCATTTGACCTTGGCGCTTAACTAGAAACAAAAAGGCTCGGTGGAAATGGATGGAGATGCCTAGATAGTGCCTTCGGTACGACTGCCGACAGTTGTGAACACATAATGTAAAAGCTTTAAATTATTCACCGTAGCATTACTATACTTTACTGCATCTGCACTAATGTGGACCTGTCAATGGAAATTCACGTCTGCTCTTTTACCATTGGCATGTGAACATTACTATATCATGTTATATCATATTATAGCAATTTTATTCATTTTCAGCATTATTTAAAAGGAGAAGTAGGACCAAAGTATTTTTTGGCCCTACTTCTCCTCTGGGTCACAGAAGTGTACTTAGCTCTGCACTCCTGTGACCCAGATTCAGTTGGGTTGAAGCCCGATGTCGGCTGAGGTCACTGAGCCAGTCCAGGCTCTGAAGAGATCCTGACTTTAATGTCGGAATCCACCCAAATGCCTGACCAGCAGCTGGCTCAGCCTCTCAGGAGGCTACTGGGAAACAGAGCCAGTCGTTCCTGCCCCCCTCCACAGCCCAGTGCTCCGGTGAGCACTGAAGGGGCAGAGCAGAGAGCTGGTGACTGGCAGTCTCACTGAAGACCGAGAACTGAGCAATTAGTGGTCTTTGACTGCTCAGATCTTGGTCTTAGAGGTGACGGGGGACATATGCAGCAGCAGATCAATGCTGCATGCACCTAGGTGAGTAATGTATGTACGTTTTTTTTAAAATAATTTCTGAATTTCTCTTTTAAAAGAATTATAATTGACAGTTTTTCTTGCAGTTTATGGTTCTCCCATAAAAGTAATTTATAAAAAAAAAATTGGAGAACAGAAATAAATTGTAATACACCAACAGTGACCAGTCAGGTGTCACCTTTCATGTTCTAGGCAAACGAAACAAGGAAGAAGATTGGTCACTGTGGACAAGAAGTTCACTTTTGTTCCCATTTTCATTTCTCCTAACTGAAGAAATCTGGACTTGAAGCAGACTTCTGCGAACACCTTTCCAGTCATCTTATATGCATCTGAATTCTTAAGCAACCTCATGCCCGCCATGTTGGAGCCCTATGATTGGCTGTAAACCTTATCTTCTAAAAACAAAATTGCCAGTGTGTTTAATGGTTCTAGCCTAGACAATTCTCTAGGAGCACAGCAGACTTTTCCACACATTGGAGAGCAGCTGAAGGGTTAGTGCTTCCACCTGGCAGCACAAGGGTTGTTGGTTCGAATCCCAACCACAGCACCACCTGCCTGGAGTTTGCATGTTCTCCCTGTGCCTGCGTGAGTTTCCTCCCACACTCCAAAGACATGCTGGTAGGTTAATTCGATCCTGTCTAAATTGTCCCTAGTATGTGTATGTATGAATGTAAGTTAGAGACCTTAGATTGTACACCCCTTGAGGGTTAGGGACTGATGTGAATGTAGAATATATATGTAAAGCGCTGCATAAATTGATGGTGCTATATAGGTACTTGTAGTAATAATGAGAGGGAGGTTGCACAACACAAAATCAGAGAATTTGAAGAAGCTTCAGTCTCCCTCAGGTGCATTGTGGATTGAGTACAACTCAAATCCAAGGAAAAAACGGAAGTTTAATTTATTACCATTTTTGCTTGTTCACTGAAGCTTTTGTTTAAGGCAGATCAATACTGAATAAACATCATCAAACCATTCTACCCCACCCTGACCAAATCTCAAAGGTTCATGTACATGGGTGCGAAAAACGACACTTTCAAATCAGCATGGCATTTTTTTTTTAAAAGGATCTGAATGCAGTTCTATTATAGGCAATGTATCTATGCACATTTAGCTCTGCAATATAGAACAACATATATATCTCCATAAAAAACGCCTAAATCCCACATTTGAGATATTTTCTCATAATTTAAGAGTAGTACATGCATATAAGCACTTCCTGCTGCCAAAAGTTGGCATAGAAAAAAAAAAGGACCTGAACACAGCTCTTTTATATCCAATGTGTCCATGCACATATAAAGCAACACTCAATGATGTAAAAAACAAAACAAAAATAAAAAAAAAAACAAATAGTTTAAAGAAAAATTCCAGGTATGGATTTCTTTTACATGGTTACATTGGTCCAGCTTGGATCGATGTAGTAACATATACCATACCTGTGGGATCCCTCGAGAACAGGGCTCTCCAAACCTTTCAAAGGGACAATTTACGGTCCTTCAGACTTTAGAAGAGCAGGACTCTGGCCAGTGGAAGTAGAAAATGCCCCGGCATCAGTGCCCCAAAGGAATAGTCCCCTATTGATGGTGTCAGTAGGGGGAATGGCACTCCATCATTGGTGTCAGTTGGTGGAACAGTACCCTAAGCGCCAGATAAAGGCAAGCAAAGGGCCACAGTTTGGAGACCCCTGCTCTAGAAATCTTTGTAGTAGATACTGCTAGCAGAGATCACTGGAGAAGCGTCGTGTACTACAGTGAATTCTAGATTCTACAGCACGGGTGTCAAACTGGTGGCCTTCCAACTGTTGCCAAACTACAAGTCCCATGAGGCATTGCAAGATTGACAGCATGACTCCCAAAGGCAGAGGCATGATGGGACTTGAAGTTTTGCAACAGCTGAAGGGCCACCAGTTTGCCTTCCCTGTTCTTCCACTGGTATCCAGTATATCCAGTACAGTTACATTGGTCCAAACTGGACCAGTGTAACTATGTAACAACTGGAATTTTTCTTTAAGTCTTTATGCAAGTGTATAAATCCATTTTAGGTGTTGGAAAAAAAAAAAGAAAAGAATTCTAACACTTCTAACACTGTGTACACATTTATGAGCCAAAACCCAAGTACTTTACATGTCATTATATGCGTGTTTTTTTTTTTTCTTTTAAGCTGGATTTTTCTGCCAGCAGTGGCAGGTTCAGCATTATTACATAAATATAAGATTTTTCACTACGACTGTGTGCATGAGCTCTAACACTTAGGTTATGTGATCCAGGCTGAAGGGGCTTGAGAACTGACATTCATTCAAAGTTGTCCAATCCATTGTTCTGCTTGAACCTTTTTCCTCTTCTTACATGAGGTTACCTGACCACATACCTAGGCATATGGTCATATAACTTGCCATTAATGGAGCACGAAAAAGTTTCTTGGAGCAAAAGGTAATACAAGACTTTTTAAACATGATTTATTATAAGGGTTAGGGTGGACAGGAATTGGGGGGTGTTATTTTCACTCTCGGTATAGTTTGCAGAGGGATCAGATATAATGTGAACAGAGGAAATATGCAGGAGAACATGACCTATCAATTCACACATAGCCAGCCTTGTGAAGTGACGGGTCACCATGAAGCACATCTGTAATGTCATTTGAGAATCTGTTGACCTTGTAAGACAAAACGTGATACACATTGGCTCCTACCAATCTTGGCATGTATAAGTTATGTCCACAAGGTACCTGAACACAAGTCAAGGCACAAGTGCCGTGTTCAGGTTTAAAAACATAAATCATTTTTCATCATTTTTTTTTTCTTTTTACAGTGAACGGATTATTTTGCGCTACTTGAATAGGAACAGTATTGCATAATTTTTAATAAAATGGACAAACATGGACAAAACACCACATATAGAAAAGACAAGCTACATAAAATATATAGAACCATGCAAGCAGCCCTTACTGTATTGAAATGTCACCCCCCCCAAGGTATCCAACTATGGGAGGGCAAATAACAATGACAACTAGGATATTGCTGTGACCCCCTAGCAATCAGAATGAATCTTTCATCAGGTCGGGAGTCAAAACAATAAAAGATGACTGCTAAGAGGTTGATAATGGCTACTGTGCAGTGCTCATCACTCTTTTTCTTAATAAAGATTTTCTATCATTATCCCAAACTCACCCGTTAAAGGTCTTAAGATCTGTAAATTAAAGCTGCACATCAGGCAAACCGCTAAATACATTGCTAAAATATATATACTATATGTACACCGGCTTACCTAAGTATTTTTAATTCTTTTGAGCTAGGCTTGTAATCTAGGCAACCCTACCAAACAGCAAAGCGAGTTTGGCGACTGATCTTACTTTGACCTATTGCATTTAAGCAGAACGGTCCCCAATGAAAAAGCAGTAGGATGGTAATGATGTCATCTCATTGCTCCCTCCTCCTGCCAGCAAGCTTCTCCAGTTGGACTGACAGCACTCTGCAATGAATTACAGCCTGACTGGTTTACAAGGCTGCTCCTCCCTTTCAGTATGTGGTAACCAGTAAACCAACATGGATACTTATACTTACGAATTGTATTTAAACAGACATTTAATGAGATTTTATTAAATATATTACTGGTTAAAATTGGGGTTTTTTCACATTTGCCTGAAATTCAGCTTTAATTTAAACAAATATCAAGGTAAAACTA